TCTTCTTCTTCTTCTTCTTCTTCTTCTTCTTCTTCTTCTTCTTCTTCCACTACTACGACTACTACTACTACTACTACTACTACTACTACTACTACTACTGTTACATCATCACCATCACCACCATGATCATCATTTTCTGAAAATCCTGTCAATACTCTGGTTTTCCACTGCCCAATGTTTCCTCGTTTTCCCGTTTAGTGGGAAGGAGAGATAACAGATAACATATAATCAGAGTTGGAAGGGACCTTGTAGGTCATCTAGTCCAACCCTCCACCCAAGCAGCAGACCCCACACCATTTCTGACAAATGGCAGTCCAATCTCTTCTTGTAAGTCTCAAGTGATGGCGCTCCCACAACTTCCGAGGGCAAGCTGTTCCATTGGTTGATTGTTCTCACTGTCAGAAAGTTTCTTCTTATTTCCAGGTTAAATCTTTCCTTGTTCAGTTGATAGAAGATATAGATCTCAGCAGAGAGATATAAAAGATATGTGTCCTGGCATTTTTCTTTCGAACAAAAGTAATAAAAACACTGAAAATAATTAAGTTATAGCACATCTGCTCAATTTGTCAATTCATACTCCTACAAAAACAGCAGTTTTGTTGATGGCATGATCCAAATTAAGAGGGCAGTATGGAGAGAATGCCCTTGTTCCTTTTTTTCCGTATGATCTCAAATATGCAATTTTCAGAAACAGGTAATTCAACTCCCTATTTTTTTTCTAAAACACAGTTGGTATAAACAATTATTTTTAAAAGCATGGTCAATGTTTTCTTTTTTAGTCTTTGTCTGATATCCTATTAAAAATAGTAATAAAAATTTATACATGTCAATTATTCCTATTTTGTAATATAGTTTTTTTTTTAAAGTAAGTGTTACATATTCTATGTATCCGTTAGAGTTTGCCAAGTCTTTCAAAAGCAGCAAGGTCTTTTGCAGTAATAATTAAATGCTGCTATATTCCATTTATTAGTGATTTCAATGTATACTTAAGATAAGTCAAACATTAACTTCTTTATAATTAATCTTGTCACATAGTCAAATCTTGTTAGCAATATAACAGTGAGGACTAGAACATTATTATTTTAAAAAGAATACAACTGCTGAGAACTTTGACATTGCAGCATGCAGCTTGAAGACCTCTGTTGTTATGTAGTGGTTACCACTGAGCTATACAACCTGCTATAAATTCTTCAGTCAATTTATTCTCTTCTTCATTACTGTCACTGAAAAATAAACCTAGTTATATACAGTTGAGATGCAGCTGTGACAGAAAAAGAGGGAGATACTGATGTGGGTTGATGGAGAAATTCTCCATTTATTTTAATACATTAATTTATTACTTAGGATGTTTTTTTTCCTTTATTCCACATGATTAAATCATTTTGTTTCCCAGGGAATCTAGTATTTGAGGCTCAAGTGTATTTTCTGCTATGTAGTTATACTGATACAGAACAAATGCAACGATAGTTTGCTCTCGGATTGGAATTCATTATAGTCTATTCTTTTTTCCATACTCTCTTATTGAAATGCCCTTTCAATCAATAATGTATCATACCTTGACACTATCTCTGTGATGGATATAAAATTCTGTTTTCACTGCCATTGGGTTTTGAATGATAGATTTACAGACTTCCTCAGGCAAATTGAAATAAGCCTTGAACTGCATCTCAGCAGGGATGCTAAGTTAACCTTATTCAGAATAAATGTCTTTTTTTAAAAAAAAAAAAAATCCACACATACCACTAATTCTTCCCAGAGACAGAAACTACAGGTGCCAATCAAGTCAGCTTTAGAGGAATCAGTACTGTCAATGTTATGTTTGTTTCCTATTTGAGAGAAAGAATAGTAATGATATATAAAGTAAGCATTAGCACATTAGGGAAGAGAGAAGTTTATCCCCTAGATATACTTTGTCTGGTTTACAATGCAATAAAAATTATACATACATACATACATACATACATACATACATACATGTGTGTGTGTGTGTATGTGTGTGTGTATATGTGTGTGTGTGTGAACAATTTAAAAATTACAATTAAATGCAACTAAAACCCAAGGGCTGGAGTAGAGCAGACGTGATGCCTTCTCTTCACAAACCACTTCCAGCCTAAAGTGCCTCCATTTGGGCCCCATGCCAATGGACCCCCCTCATGCATTTATTTGACATTTTTGTTCCGGTGTGTATATTGTATACTCTCTCTCTCTTTCTCTCTCTCTCTGTCGATCCTTTGGTTGATCATTCCGCCCCCTGCCCCCCCCGTTGTTATTTATGTAAAGTGCTTCCAAAGGTGGTAAATTGAAGAAAGCTGCTACAGATTTCTCTGATACCAAGTCTAGAACAGGTTGCTTATATCATAGATAGATAGATAGATAGATAGATAGATAGATAGATAGATAGATATAAAGATAAAGATAAAGATAGAGATAGAGATAGAGATAGAGATAGAGATAGAGATAGAGATAGAGATAGAGATAGAGATAGAGATAGAGATAGATAGAGATAGAGATAGAGATGATAGAGATAGAGAGATAGAGATAGAGATATTCTTCCCCTTAGCCATCTAAGTATGGTATTCTATCTGGGGTTTCCTCTATTTTAAATGGAGGATTTTCAATTTGCAAAAGGCAAAACTACAAACAGCATCAGAAGTGGGATTATAACATGAGATGGTTTTTACAAAAAAAAAAAATGCCGATCTGAAAATGCTAATAGTTTTTTTCTAGGGAAATCAGAATATTCTTGAAGTGATTTTAAATGCCTTTAAAAATATACCCAACAAAAAATAATGATCAAAGTATATCTTCATAATCAGGTTAACATTGCCTATGTAGATATCTTCTTAATTTAATTATCCATGAAGCTATCTTTATTTCATGAATGCTTAAGCTGTGTTGGTGCACTGGTTAGAATGCAATATTGCAGGCTAACTCTGCCCATGCCAGGAGTTAGTTCCTTACTGGCTCAGGGTTGATTCAGACTTCCATCCTTCCAAGGTCAGTAAGATGAGGACCCAGATTGTTGGGGGCAGTATGCTGACTCTGAAAACTGTTTAGAAAATGTTGTATGAAACAGTATATAAGTCTAAGGGCTATTGCTATTAAGCATGAATAAAATGTTGAGTTACAAAGCTGCAACTATTATTTCCAAGTGTATTGCAGCAAAATATTGTTCTGTATGTAAGTCTGCTTTACAATGACAATATTTTCATTTTTATAAAACATTTTCTAGGAATCTTCAGCTGTTAGTTGGACTATGCTAGTTAAAACAATTAATCCAGCTTTATCAAAAGCAATAATTCATCCTCTGCTTCTTATGCTTTGATCCAGCATATTTATAATGTTTCAAACAATTGGAAGCTCCTGACATTATATTGTAATCATGTTGTCCTTATTAATGTTAATTTCTGTTTCAGAAATCAAAAATTGCCACGTATGAAAAAATGTGGGCCTTTATGAATAGCAGAAGGCAGTCAGTGCTTGTCAAAAGCAATGAGGAAGGTATCCAACGTGTACTCACTTCTGATTATGCTTTCCTAATGGAGTCAACTACCATTGAGTTTGTTACACAGCGGAACTGTAACCTGACACAAATTGGAGGCCTGATAGATTCCAAAGGTTACGGGGTTGGAACTCCCATGGGTAGGTTGCACATCCTTTCTAATTTGTATTCATAATTGTAGTTGCAATGATAACAGATGTTTCCTAGATTGTCAATCTGTGTAATAACATTCTGTCCTATTTATTGTAAATAGTATTTATATTGTTAAGGTAGTGTCCAAGTATTACTAGGATGATGTGCTAATAGCACTGTAAGCTTTACATATTTATTTTTCAACTGGAAGAATGTGATCTATGCTAAGGAAACAAATTCCATGTTAGCAGATACATGATTTTTTTTTTAAAAAAAAGATAATATTTTCTGGAAAAAAAACTTTAATTAAATGTGATTGTAGTTGACTTCTGTGAATATATTCCTGGTTATTCAGGTTTTTTTTTTACTCTTTTTCCAGATTTGACTAGTGAAATATTATATTTGTAGAATTACTTTCTGCTAGCAGTGGATATAAACCAGTGCTTGAATAGCTTCCAAAATTATTGACTAATCTCCTTATTTGACTAGTTTTGGGAAAGCTAACCCTAATTGTTATTAGGTTTTATTATAGAGCATATTGTTTAACAGTGGAATCCAATGGGTAATGAACTGGGATCTCCCATAGGCTCAGCTCTTTTAGGATCAAATATTAGGCTCATACAAATCCATAGATACTTAGATATCTGTAATTTGTAGGTTAACAAAGATATCTTAATCCAGAAGTGTCAAACCTGATTGTACCCCCAAAGTTTCTTAATCTTCATTTAATCTTTTCCACGAACTTTTATGTCCTGTTCTATACTACTTTAACTGATTATATTTCAGTGCTGACATTATATTATTGCAATGAACTCATCTTCTAAAGCTTTAAATGTACGCATCAGAACTTTGAATTCACTTGGAAACCAGATAAACTGAGTGGTCCTAGTCAACAACTTTTGAAAAAAAAAATTGAATTAAGGACGTTGCTAAGCAAATTACCAATAGTCACTTGGGATGCAATTTGAGGTATTATCAGACCATGCACAGTATCTCAAAACACAATATCTCAAGTAGATTTCAGTATTTAATAGTTCTCTTCTAACATGTGTAGACTTCAGTGCTACAATTAAAGTAATAATGAGAATAATGAAAACAAAAAATCTAAAGTGGCATAGATGTCTTCCTGAATTTTTTCTTTCAATATTTACATTATATTTCAACCAAGGTATAAGAAGCTTGGTTGACAACTATTGACTTCAGAAGGTTAAGAATATAGAAAGGAAAGATCTTTCTTTTTTGTGTGTGTGTAAGCCATCAGCCCTTTTAAATATGTTACACACAACTGCAATTGTCAGAAAAGTTTCATACTCCCTGAAGTTATATAATGTCTATCAAAAACAAAATACCATGAATAAAAATATAGCTTTCCAGTATAATTGTATTGATGATTGAATCTGTGGCTTCAAGGCCATCATTTAATTTCAAAATTTTGGATTGAAATCAAGAACTATTCATATTGCTTTTGGCAAGGAGTTCGGTTTTCTTCACATTTTGGTCAAAGTTGTATAAACATTCTATGGTGAAGTTCAGTCCCGGTCTGAAAAGAATTTCTGTTATGCATTATGTTTTCTTATTCTTTTCCCAGTGTAATTATCTGTACTCTGCAAAGAAAGTGACATAGTGATTGGACGAAGTAGGTGATAGTTTTAATGTATATGCAGTTTTGATTAGATCTGCTTGCTTAATTTAGTTAAATTATTGTCAGTAGTGTCTTGCGCATATTAGAAAATTATGTATTGTTACTGTTGTTGCTGTTGTTATTGCAGCTTTTCCACCTAAGTTTGGAAAGGCTCCTGTCTACAGTTCTAGAGCATTGTTGCTAATCAGCTTTGACACTATGGACCTAGATAATCAGGTCTAAGTCAGTGTTAGACGATTTCCTGGGTTCCGCTGGTTGCTGTTGGGGAATATTTTTCTTGTCTTATTTCAGTCAGCCGAAAAGTGCATGATTAAAGTGCTCTTTGAAATTAGCTCATTTTGAAGGCTTGTCTTTTTCATGTTAATTCATCAGGCAGAGCATCTAGAAAGAGGTATTTCACACACTGCTCCTTTAAATTAAAGGCTTTGCCACCCAAAAGGGGTTTCAGACAATAATTTATGATCCACAGCTTCATACTGTATTCTGCTCAGAATATGACTTCATGAATTATTGATATTTACCCAGTCCATTAATGAGTGCATTATAATGCTGCTGTTCTACCTTGGTATGCAGAATCCTTGCTTTGAGTAGACTTTGAATCTACCATATTTAATTGCTAGGCAATGGCCAGTAATAAACTGTTTAACTTATTCAGTCTGCATTACCTCTTGGGAGTGATTTTGAACTTTATGTTCTTATGCCACTGAACTGTACAAAGCTAGCATTGCCTTTTCAAAAATTCATTTCATTCTTTACCAGAGCAAAGAATTATGTACTTTGTTTTCTTGATGAGCATTTTCAAGCAGATCCCTCCTAGGTTTATACCTTCTCTTAAGCTGGATGATACAGAACAGGATGGGACATTTTTTTCATTGCTTATTCTGTTCCATTCTTTATTCTGCAATTAGACATGGTGATCTAAAAGCAGTATTTTTGAAAATCTAAGAAAGTTTTCCAAAATATGTAACCTACACACATGCACATACATATGTATACTGTAAATTGGCTTCCAAGCAGTCTTATTATAGGGAATTCTGAACCTAACATGTTGTCGGGATTAAATATTTATATGAAGTTGATAAATACAGTCACTACAGTATTATTGGCTGATGTCACCAGTAGATTGGTGATCTCAAGCTCTATGTTCCTGTTAGATCACATTCAAGAGAGACAGTGTGCAGTTAAAAAAGATTTTTCAGTAAAGTAAAGGGAGAGGAAGAAACTAAATCTCTGTAGGGCAAAAAAACATAATAAGGTGATCCCCAGATCTGATGAGGGAATTGCCTGTTCTGGATGAGTTGCATAGCCCCTAAAGCAAGGGTGTCAAACTCACATCGTCATGGCAGCATCACATGACATATCAGGACTTTGCCCTCTTTGCTAAACCAGATGTGGGCATGGTCAGCATGTGATGCATCTGGCCTGCAGGCCAAGAGTTTTACACCCCTGTCCTAAAGGAACAGGCTTACTGTTATGATGCTCCCAGATTCATCATTATCCCAAGAATCCCAGGTGATTATTTTGGCTATGATCACCACTTATCAATTCAAGTTTGTATATCAGATATGCTACTTATGTAATAAGGTTAGCTTGGCCATACTAATCCAACCTCAAGATTGACAATATACTCCATGTGAGTCTGCCACTGAAATTGGTTTGAAGCTACAGAGCAACCTGGCTCAGTTGTGAGTCTTATGGTGAACATACATCATAGCAATGTAGTTGGATCTCCATGTATTGCTGTAACATATAGATCCACAATGGATTTAGCTTTTTCATCCTTCCACACATTTCTAGTCACTGGAAGACATTCTTCTTTAATTGTTTTCTGGTACCCATTCTGGAATAGGCCTTCTCTGTAATGGTATCTACTTTATTGAATAACTTCCCCTATGTGAGACTTCAGGTTGGGCATAGCTATACATTTCTATTCTTCTAAAAAACCAGGCTGGGTTAGGAGCTAGTTAACAGAAGAAACATCTACAGACTTGATGCTGCTAAGTTAACTGTTGTATTGTAGACAAGAAATAAGTCACATGTATTCAAAACTTCAGTCTGATAGAGCCAAGCCCCTCCTTCCCCAGACACTAAAGCCGAATAGCTTCCTACCTATCAAGCCAGTGTATCCTCTGCCATTCATTTCCCAGTTTCAAAAATGGAGTGCACTTGCTTTGCACAATAGTTCTGTCTGATTTGAAAAGTATTAGCTCCTATATAACTAATGTATATCTTTAAACCTTTTGTGGTATTAAATTATTAAAGTCAGCAGAGAAGATTGCAAATGTCAATGACATGATTGCAGGCACTTGGCAACCAGTCATAAATATGAACAGGTTACCAATCATCTAAAATGCAATTGTGTGACTAGGGAGAGAACAATGCAACATTTTACAGTAATTGATCAGTGGTAAGTTAAGGACTACCAATATTGGAAAGTTTTCTCTAGTGTGAGGCCAGCTGAGGGAAGGCAATCCAAAATGTTGAGAGTTCCAAGCAGCATAAAGCTGAATGGAGTAATAGGTTTGTCCTAATTTTAGGCCTTCAAAGTCAATGAAGCAGAAGCACTACTATTTGTATTTTTTTGTATGGAAATAGCTTAGGCTTGTGAAGAGGAAGTACAAAGAAAGTGTTTTTCATTCCTACTTAGCAGGGTTGTATTACATTATTGTGCTGTATTTTATTGTATTGTATGGACAGTAACTGGTATACTGATTTTTGTCTCAAGACCAAACTACACAGTTGATACCTTTCTGGAAAATAAGTCAAACTTAATGGCTGCTTCCCTTATAGAAGAACAGTGTTAGGATTGTTTTTTCACATATGAGGTTCTTAATTTAAGAACTGCTCTTACCTCTTATAGGGTTTTTAATAGAAAACAATTTCATTTTTATATGTAAGAGTTCGTGTCCATAATCTGGTATGATTTGCAGTTTTCTTTAATAAATGTGAAGCTGCCAGGTGTATATGTTAGAAACTGTTAAAAAGCAAATATGTCAAATTCTGCAAACTGCCTCTTTTAAAATATATATTTCTTTCATCAAAGCTGTTGTTTGCCATTTTGTCACTTGTATTACACACACACACACACACACACACACACACACACACACACACACACACAAAAGATAAATACATACATACACACAGAGAGAGATAAATGTGATTTTCTGGATCAGCAAGACTGTTCATTTTCACTGAAATGTATTTTAAACTGAAAGCCATTACTCTAATCTCATGTATAAACACAATCCAGGCATTAAATATTCATTAAATCTTAATTATAATAGCATAAAATTCCCCTGTGCTTTTTTTCTGAAAATGTGAGTTATCCTAGATTTAATTAAGGAGGTTGGGGAGTCAGAAAAG